TGATAGCCTCTATCTGACCTCTTCTTTAAAAATCTTCCTCAACATTTATGGAAGTAACTTTTGGAGCTTATTGGAACTGGAATTCTTGCTCTTTGCAATGACAAGTGTAAAGAAAGTGAACAGAAGTTGGGAGCAGTGGGGTACAGAAGAAGAGGAAAATCAGACTAAATTTATGTTATGCCTCTTTTATTGTGAAAAATAATCCTAGCCTTATGTACTTTACTTTTCTAAGTGTGGCAGTGGTGGTGGTAATAGTGTGGTAGGAGAAGTAGTTGTAGAGGAAGATTTAGAAGGCACAAGGGAGACTGTTCCTCCTAATATGGAATTTCCGTAACTTCCCAAATATAGTTAACAAAGTGGTTTTTAGAAAAGTTTTTAGTCTTGTAAGATAGTCTCCCGTGTAGTATTGCTCTGTTTTTCACTTCAAAATACTGATAAAGTTGGAGTTTTAAGTTACCTCCTGGATTACTGTCTTCTCTTTCATGTGCTTGTTTTACTTGTGGGTTACAGACCCAAAATAGTGTTGATGTGATTATATCACTATTAAAACTTCCTTGGTTTCTTCAAATCCAAAGCCTTTTGCCTTGTTCATGTGAGGCAAATGCTCTACCACTGAACTACATCTCCAGCCCTTGAATTTGTTTTTTAATGGAGAAAAGCACACTACTTTGTCTTTTATTCTTACAGAATTTGTATTACCAATAATTATACTTTTCTCTTGAATGATTTCAGGATGTTTTGGAGTAGTATTGGAAAATGGTATTATTTTGTGTTTATTTCTGAAACTTAAAACAGACTACCTGGATTTAAAACTCAGATTTGTTCCTTATTAGCTTTTTGATCTGGAGCAAGTTATTTATTAAATACCTAATTTTGCCTGATTGACCAAATAGGTATTATAAAATATCTTCTTTATTGACTTGTGTTGAGGATTAAATCAATTTTTAAAGAAAGAATAATGCTGATATATACAGTATGTGCTGAATAATCATTACTATTCATCCTCTGTTCTTAGTAAACTAACAGTTTTAAAGTAAAAATCTTTTGTATCTAAAACTAGAAAAATTCAGTTTAAAAAGTTACTTTAGGCTGGAGTTTAACTCTTCTCTTTTCCTACCCCCCCCATTCATTTCAAATTATTATTTGAACTTGAATGTTCCATAAGGATTACTTAGGGGTTTGGTTAATATATGTAGATTCTTTTTTAGTAGTTTTGCAGTAGTCCTGAGATGTTGCTTTTCTAACAAGCTTCCCAAGTAATCTGAAGGTTGCTAGTCTTCAGACCATACCTTGAGTAGCAAAGCTACTGAATGTTCCATTAAGTGATTCTCATTTCCTTTGTCAGTATGTAATACACTTGAGAATTTTTAAATTTTTATGAATATGATGAGCTGTGCCTCAGCCAAGATAAATCAGATCTCTGGCATAGAGATTCTGTGCTGCATTATCATCATTATCATCAACAACAACAACATTTTTTCTTTTTTGCAAAAATTTCCTAAGTAATTAATTCTCAGGTGCAGTTAGCATTAAGAGCCACCATGTTAGTCATTTCAAGGAGAGCCAGTAAACTAAGAAGCTCTGTTAAAATGGAGACATAAATGTCTTCTTTTACTTTGTCATCTTCTATGGTAAACCCATTTCCTTTAGAGAGATGAAATACAGTTGGTCAGAACTCTTAAACTGGAAGACAGCTAATGTGTTGGCCAGAGTTTTCCTTTCACTAAACTAGACTAAATGTCTAATTTTGAGACTCTTCAGGGTTCATGTTTTCTGTTTCCTTTTATCATTTGTGTAATCTTCTTTGTACTTTCACTCATTTCTTGACAGCTTGAAGTGTAGTAACCCAAACTAGATACAAAACTGCTTTAACAAAAGTGAATAATGTCAGAGACAGAATAATAAAGTTCCTTCCATATCTGCACTTATATGATTTTTATTATTTAAAGTGAAAAGTTTTTGTATCAGAATTTTTACTGGCTCTTTGTTTTTGAGAGTTACTGTGTGTTTTCTATTATGATACTAGAGTTTCATTATATTGCTTTCTTAGATTGTGCTTCCTCTTCTTTATCAATTGTATTTCTTACATCCATTTCCATCTTGCATCTATTTGGGGGGAGAGGCAGTAAATATTGTCTTGTGGATTATCATGTTTTGGGTAAACAGTTTTCCAAAGTGATCAAGATCATTTTGAATTTTATTCCATCTACACAAGATGGATCAGTTAAGATCAGTCCAGGAAAAATATCCATATTAGACACTGCATTCAAGAAAATTTAGTAAAGGGAATGGATTATATGGGTCTTATAGGACTGACAAAAGCAAAAGGGGACAGACACAATAATTGCAGAAAGCAGCTACCATCCATACATAGGTGTCAGGAAATAAAGAGGTTGGAGTAGGGGCATATAGAGTTGGGATTCAAAATCTCTAGAAGGGTACTGCCTTCTCTGCTGCTATTTCTGAGGGATACTTCTGGGAATGCCAATAAAAGATGGTGGTTTCAAGTAACTGCTACTGCTGGAATGGAGGGCCTCACTCAGCTGAGACAATGATGGTTGACAAAAGCTTATATTTTTTTTCTAGTGCCCTTAATATGAGGAAGATACTTGGCAAAGAGAAAACTAGCTTCAGAGTTCTATTTTCAGTAGAGGTAAATATTAGTCAAAGGGTAGATTTGGAGCTGCGAAAACAGTAGCTGAATAATCAGCCCAAATAGCCTCCTTTTCTAGTTACATGTTGGCATATTCTAGTTAGTAGGACCCCAAATGTTCATAGTGCTAAGGATTTTGAAGGAATGGAGGTGCTGTTTTTATTTTTTGGAGGTGCTATTATTTTAACCACAGCTATATATTGCTTAAGGATGAGTGTAGTTCTGAGAAATGCATTGTTAGGCAATTTCATCATTGTGTGAATATCATAGAGTATGCTTACACAAACTAAGATGACTGAGACTTCATTAGGCATTATAATTTCATGGGACTGTCATTGTATTGTGGTCCATCATTGGCCAAAATGTCATTATGTAGCACATAACTGTCATTTATCTAATTAACATGATTTGGGAACATGAGATAGGACCACTTCTAAGATTACTGTGTCAGAGCTTTCTTGGGATCTAATCATTAGATACTAATCATTAGATACTATTTTTTTTGGTACTTGAGGTGTTCCTATTTCTCAAGAGCCTTTACTTAGAGTATAAACAATTATGATAGGAGTAATGATGCTATAAACTAGAGGTTAAGAATTGGCTGTATATTGGCTGAACAGTGACCTGGTGCTTTGAACAGAAGATTATAACTTTTCTTTCATTCTACTATTCTCCTTCCCATGGGAGCTTTTCAAATTTTAATGAGTATATAAATCACTGGGGAATCTATTTAAATGCTTAAATCTGATTCAGTATGTCCTCAGCAGGACCTGAGATTCTGCATTTCTAACAACTCTCAGAGAAGGCTGAAGTTACTGATTCCTAAACCAGACTTTTCTCCTTTCTCTGGTTTGAGAACCACTAATGTTTGGTTTGGATCCACTGTTGGACCTGCAGTTGGATGGTGGCTTAATATAAAATAGCTTTGTTAATAAGTTAATTTTTTCTCCTTTTATAAGTGGTGAATAATCATAAAGTAAAATAATTTCTTCCAAACCTACCGATCTAGATCTATTCTGAGCCATCACCAAAGAGGCAGATTCCTCTGGATAGGTTGAGTTTTCTTTCACAATTTAATCCTGCCTTGAATGTAGAGGTATGCTTATCACTTGTCCTTTTCCTGAAAGATCTGAGGTTTTTCAGTAATCTTATGCATATTTAAGGAAAACTGACTAATGGGAGATAGGATGAAACAATTAGCAAATTGTCTCAGACAATTTGTCTTCATTAAAGCCATTATTGCTGTTAATTATTGATTTCTCTTAATGATTGGGTTGTCTATGGATTTCAAAAAGTGTGTTTGGTTTTAATCTCATACTGATTGCTTTTCCCCACTTTTTGCAGTTTCAAGTACTCAAACTTGTCATAAAAATATGGGACATTGCCTTGAGCCAAATAAATGGCAGTCTTTCTAAATAGAACTTTGAATACAAACCAAATTTATAAAGTGTGCTAATTGTTCTTTACATCTAGGGTTTTATATTACCAAGGCATAACTGATCAGATGAGTAAAAAGTTAATCTTTTTTTTTTTTAGCTGCCATCCTTCTAGATCCTCAATACCCTCTCCCGCTCCTGGATCTTTCCTTTTTTCTTTACAGACCTGGATTTTCAAAGGCATGGATTCTTTGCTTTTGGCTGTTGATGATTATGTGAATATTACCCTTTAATTTTTAATTCAGACTACCCATAGAGAGATTACCTTTTAATCAGAGAGTTAAAATGAAAGTTAGGGATTCAGGGGATTCCTACAAAAGGGTGAAAAAAGTGCTCAATTTTAGGATCCCAAACAAAGCATTTTGATTGGCACGTGGAGACCCTTGCATGCACACAAACGTCCATATTTGAATATTTATAGAAGATAACCTGTCAGATTGCAAATATTTTAATTTGTCAAGCTTGGCTGATTTCCTCAGTTGGATGTTAGTTGAATTCTGGATGAGGGACTGTAAATATGTTCTGGAGGGGAACATTCTTTTTTTGTCCTTGAAATTATTTGAATGTTCTTGACCCCCTCCCCCTTGCCTCCTTTTTTAAAGCTGTGGTTCCTTTCTGTCTTAGGCAAAATCCATGTTCTTTCTGAGGGAAAAATATTAACATAGGATAATAACTATAAAGACTCAATGTTTTAAAACTACGTCTCTTCACATTTAGCCATCAAGAATTTAAAAAATAATTCAAACTATTTCTTTAGTCTTTACTTTCAAAGAAGCTACCCTGGAGAAGCAGATTTGGGGATATATGTTTTGTTTGAATGGTTTCATGTGAGATATATTTCATGTTAACAACAAAGTAAATGTGTAGTTTTAAAATAATTAACATTTTTTCTTTTGTCTTGTTTTGAACAGCTAATAATTTTTGTGACCCAGATTTAAGCAATAATATATTCACCTGGATTACCGTGGTTTCATGAATGTCTTCTCTTCTTGGGAAAGGAAGGTAAGCCATTTTTCACAGTTAATATAAAATAGCTTTGTTAAATTTTTCTCCTTTTATAAATCAGGAACCCTATTCCTCAATATAGTCTACTTTTAGAGATGATATAATCATATGACAATTTCTGGAGCAGGTGTACATTCTATGCTCCATCTGTTAGACCATCTTGTCTCTTACATAGGCATGGTCACCTGAACAGTTTACTTTTACACATATAACTCTGATAAAACTAGATAGGTTACTTTTTTTTTTTTTTCCTTTTGATGTTTAAAATTTTTATCTCTTGTGAGCTGACATAATTGAATCTGCTTTGTCAGTTATTACTGTAGTTAGAAACTATATCAAATACTAAGTCTCAGTTTTACTTAGATATTGACTTTGTTTTGGGGTTTCAGGAATGTAGGGTCTCATGTTTTATATTTTTGTAAATTCAGGGTGGAACTTTTACAATATTCTTTTCCATCTTACTCAGGCAGCCATTTTTGTTCCATTTGACTAACTTGTTTTGTTAAAAATTTTTTTCTAGATATTTATAAAATCTTTCACTTGTTATTGCTTTTTCCTATCCTTTTTCTGATCATCCAACCCATCTAACTCACTCTACTTCTTCATTATCTTCCTAGGAAAATTTATTTGTCTGAATGTAGCTATCCCATGGTTTAAAGTTTTGCCCAAGTTTCTAATTTTGTAGTGGTTCATTATCTGTACTGTTTAAAGGCTTTAGAGATGTCTGTTGTTTGTATTGTATCGCAGATATAGAAATAATACTGAAGTAAAATTTATATATATATATGTAAAGTGAAAATACTGCTAATATCCCCTAGGTCTGGTCATTCTGATAGTCTTACTAAGTTTGAGGATTATTTTATAATAGTGCTTTTAGATTTCTTAAGGTGAATTATGTAGTACATTTATTTACCTTAACTTATTAAACCAGCATTCTTTTAGTTAAGTAGATTAAAACTCAGTTAAATAAAGTTTAAACAAGTAATATAAAATATAAGAAGGTGTTTTTCAGTTTGATTTGAGGGAAAAAGTTGGCTGTATTTCTTGCTGTAAGAGCCAGCAAATAGCACTATACAGTGGATTAAGATTTTCTAAGTAAATTGTTTTCGATAAATGTTAATTTCATGGTGATAGCAAATGTTGGGGGCTGGCATCCAAGTGCCACATTTTGCATAAAAATTTAGCTTTCTCTCTCTTTATTCTTTTTTCTTCTAGAGGAAATCTCTAAAACTTAAATTTGTGTAGAAATATGATAATGCTATTTCAGGAATAAAATAACAGGCTTTATTTTTCTGAAAATTAAGCAATAAGGATGACCAATGAATTGTAGTACTTAATGATAGCTTTTTTTTTTTTTTAGGATAGTTTTTTTCTATATTCCCTATGGAAATTTAATATTTGGGTGTTCATTCAGGAAACAATTTAATTTATAATAACAACATGAGATCTAAATGATCCCCACAATATTTGATTGTCCATGTTTCATTGCTTCTGAAAGAAAGGAAGTGTATTTAATAATTTATACCATTTTTATTTTGTTTGTTTGTTTTGTTTTTTGGTGCTCGGTATCGAACCCAGGGCCTTGTGCATGCAAGGCAAGCATTCTACCAACTGAGCTATATCCTCAGCCCCGCCCCATTTTTATTTATAAAAACTAATTAATCATATTTTAGGTAATATATGTGCCATTGAGACATTCAGATTTCCAAATTTTTTCCTTCTCCCTCATAAGTGTTATATATTACTAATCAATTAGTAAAATGTGAAGGTGAGAAATGAAAATGTGGTTTCTGGTTCAGCCTGGAATAAGCTTAGAATTCATCACTTTGTCCTAACACATAAAAAGTTGAATAAACCGAAAAGTTAGTAGTTCTTACTTAACTTAAGAGAATGAAGTCATAGAGCAAACTGCTGTCCCCAAATTGGACAAAGACAAATACACAGAACTGCAACTTATTTGAATAGAAATCCAGGGGTAGAAACCACCATAGGAATCAATAGGGTTCTTGCCAGCGTAGACAAATCTGAATTGTAAGAATTATTGAGGCCCAGTGTGAACAAATTTGAGTATTAAAAACTCCAAGAGAACCGAGTCATAGGGATAATGACAAAAGTCATTTGTGACTTTCCCTTCAGGAGTTTGACCAGTTCCTACAGTGAATATTAAAGGGGGGTGGGGAGAAATCCCCTGATGCTTCTAACAACAGGAGAGGAAAAGTAATCATTTTGAAATATACCAGAGCATTCTGTTCTTCTTAACAAGGTTTGCTCTCAAGTACTACAAGTACTTTACTAGAGCCTTTTAGGGTTTTATCAGAACCTAACAGACCTGGGGAAGGGTGAAGAAAGGAAGTATTCAACTCCTGCTGACTCTAATCATCCTGCTCCACCTAAGGAGGTGGGAGTGGGGGTAGACTGAGAAGTACTTGCTGTCAGGGGCACAGGCTCACTAAAAAGACTGAGACCTAATCATAGGACTTATAATTTGAAACGTCCTCTGCAACCTCCCTATCACTACTGTTTCACTGCTTCTACTACAAGTAATTTACAAACTGCACATATATGGCAAAAATGAGCACTGGCCCATAAAACTAGGCCAAAATGAGGAATGTGACCCTGATACTGCAACAAGGGACAAAAGTAAGAATTAATCCTATATCTCCCAGGAAATCAGGTAAACAAGAGAGTGAAGTGAAATATTTAAGTGTTGAAAGGAGGAAAATACCAAACGAAAAAAACTGCTAAATACACAAACAAAAAAATATCAAACCCACACATACACGATCACAAATTCTTTATTGAGAATTAATTGTGATCCTGCATCTGGAACCTCACTGGTAGTACTCTTTTTATTCCTGCTCCTGTGATCCATTTTCAAATGGCAAATGTTTGTCCTTAGTGAACTCTCTGGCCCTAGAGGATGAATATCAAGAATGTGAACCTGGTACTGAGACAAAGGAGACAATTCCCTAAAGCCCTCATAGCTATAGTTCCTTTTATGCAGCACATCATGTCTAACTTCCAACGAAAACTTACAAAATTAGGAGACATATTAAAAGGCAAAAGAGCAGTATAAAGAGAGCAAGCATCAGAATCAGACTGAGACATGGCAGAGATAAAATCATCATAAAGAATTTCTCTGAGATTTAGGCTGTGTCAGAAGAAATTTCACAAAACAAAGGAAAAAAAAAGACTAGTAAAAGGAGCAGAATATACAGTAACTAAGGTAAGGGACAACAACCAAAGGTAGAACATACATGTATTGAGAATACCAGAAGGAAAAGAAAAAGAACAGAAGACATATTTGAAGCAACGATGACTTGAGATTTTCCCTAAATTAATGTCAGATACTAAAACTGTTTCATACAACTCTTGGTTTCAGTAGAACAAAATTTGAAAACTACTATTAATTAATAATACATTCTGGCCAAGTTAATGTTTGATAACTATTGGCCTGAGCTCACTGTGTATTTCTACCTTAATTCTTTTGAGTGATCTTGAGGAAGAACAGAAGCAGATAAGAAAGGACAGGGGAGAATTTGTAAAGGAAGATGAACTTTTAAAATGGATTTAGAAGACTAATAGAAGATAAAATATGTTGTGTGATAAATTTCAGAGCTTTCTAAAGGAGAGGTTTGATTTTTTTGAAACAAGTATTACTTCTCTTTCTAAAGGAGAGGTTTGTTTGAAATGGTGATGTTTTCTATCTAAGACCACCGTTATCCTGCTGTTCTTTCTTTTAGAGGTAGGTGGTGGGGAGCAGTACCATAAGCTTAAATTATTGAAATATAAGGTCACAAGATAGGATGGAGAGAATTTTAGTTTCTTTCTCTACACTTTAATTCCTATTCTTTGTTGCTTAAACTGATGTTTAAGTTATTTGCCTCTGATTTAAAAAGGGGTCTGATTCTTTGCAAAGCAGCTATTCTGGTGATAAAAATGCTTTCAGTATTAATTCATTAATACTGGATTAATACTGGGTTGACATCCATTTGTATGCTAAATGCTGCACCATTGTTATTGTTTGGCATTTATTAGCTAACCTCTATATTTTGCATTCTAAATGCTGCACCATTGTTATTGTTTGGCATTTATTAGCTAACCTCTATATTTTGCATTAATTGGCATTTATAAATGTCCTATATTTTGCTCTTGAGAGAATATCCTAAAAGGGAGTAATGGTGGGAAATAGCCTTTTCTCATATAGATGGCAGCCTGGAAGCATTGGAGTAAAGATCTTTGTTTAAGCATTTCCAGGTTATTTATTGAGTAGTTAAGATAGGAAATTATAATCTTATAAAATATGGAGGTTCTTAAAACATAGTCACGTAGACTCATGATAGTGACCCTACCAGGAATCATCAGCACAGATACAATTCTCTCAAGGAATTGGAAATCATTTTTATTAAAATTAGATCACTGAAATTGTTTTCTTCTCTGTAGAGTATAAACACGATAAATAAAACAAACCAACTTCCTCAGATCATAGTAAGTAAAGTCTGAGGACAAAAATCTAGAATTTCTATCTTTTCTTGGCTGCTAACTAGGTGTATAAATCTTAGTCAACTTTTAGTCACTTCTTTCCTCAGTTTTCTATCTTCAAAATGGAAATAATGCTTGCCTTACAAAGCAGTGATGATAATCACTTGAGGAAAGGTGTGCAAAAGTGTGTTGCATGCCTGATACATATTTGTCATGCAACAAGTATTACTTCTCTTTGTCTTTTCTTGTGGCATCATTAATGTCTGGTAGTTTTGAGATCAAATTATTTTATCTTTCTCAACCTCATTTTCCTTTAACATAAGATCAGTGATGCCTGCTTTATAAACTTGGAGTTCAAGTTCAGTTCCTAGTATAGTCTAGGACATTTTGAATTTGAATGTTAAATTGGCTAAAATCTTATATGAATATTTGAGTTTTGCTAGATAGATCTTTTGGATACAAAAAAATCACAATATCTGGTAGGAGGAATATAATAAGGGAAAATGAATTTCGAA